CACAGCTAATTGAGATTCGTGTGCGCAGTGCCGTAAGCTGCTGCTTTGCCTGAGCTGAGATGGCCATCTGGCCAATGTATTTATAGGAAACGCATGCATGCATGAATATGGTAGTTGTATGTATGCATTGCATGCTGCTGTGGCGATGGTGTCCAGCCTTTGGACCAGCCACGGAAACTGACGACGACATCTTGAAGTTCAAAGTATCTCTCCAGTCTTTCCCGGACATGCGCATCCGTTTCCTGCCCTGCGTATTTACATAATCATCATTAGATGAGTTGGTTAACTTAATTAATTGGGCATATGGAGTAGTCGAGGTTGTTAACGAACTGACTAATTAATCAACGCGGAACGAAATTGACCTTGAGCAGAGCAGGCACTCATCCGTGTTTCGTCGTACCCTGAAGCACTCGATTAAAGGTCTCACTAGGCACGTTTGCATGCATTCGGCGGCTAGGAAGATTGTCGATTCGATTATCATATATTGAGTAGGTGGTTGTCGTGATTTCGTCGTAGCCTAGCGAGGTAAGTAATTAAGCATGCACTCGATCAAAGTCTCAAAGGGCATGGTTTGCATGCGTTCGGTGGCCAGGAAGCTTCTTTTTTTTAAAAAAAAAAAATTAAAGAAGGCCCGCCAGGAAGATTTTGAAATAGACTATATCAAACACAGAGGCCCTTCTTTTGACACATCTCTGGATCTTAAAATTGAGTATTCTTAACTTCAAAATTACATGGATGTATATTTATGATTACGTCAATAATGTATGGATAAATCATTGTTTACATTTTAGGTGCATTTTAAAATTTTAAATCACTATTGTCGACGTTTGATGTCGTCATTCTGGTATTTGCATAGTATGGGGATCGTCGGTGCTAGGATATACGCGAGACTGAGATAAAAGAGATGGAGATAAGGATTTTTATATAGGTTCGGGCCCCTGAGTTGTCAGGTAATAACCCTACATCCTGTTGGTCGGAGCCGATGATGCTCTTTATTCACCATAATCACACCCCTACAATATGTAGGGTAGCCTATCTAACTGTTGTCGACATGGCGGTCTGAAGGTCTGACTCGTATTCGACAACAGGGTAGCCTTCCTCCTCGAATCCGTGTCCGGCGAGATCAGAGATAGCGCTTTCGTATCTCCTGACGGTATCCGGAGACACCGTAGGGGAATAGCCATGCTTATCCCTGAAGTCGATATCCGGCGGCGTGTCTTGGCGTATGTAGGCTTGTATGTTGATTGTGTTGGGTGTTGATGAGGTGGTCGTCCCGATAGTGGTGATCGTGTTGATCGTCTCATGGTGAGTGTGTGTCCTCCTGTCCTCCTAGGGGGGCTTGTATTTATACCCATAGGTTCCCCCTTGTCCAAGTATAACTAGGGAAACTAATATGGATACAATCCGAGTAGTCCTTGTCGTTTCCATGTAGAACTCTGGTTCTTTCCTCATCGGAACTCCTCCTATATCCGAAGGTTGTTTCCGTATAGGACATGGTATGTGGTGGGTCCTGCCGAGATTTAGTCAACTACTATTAGGTATGTGGTATCCATAACCATGACAACTATAATTTAATATACAAACTTTAAATTTATCGTGGTTTTGAGATTTGAAGTTGTGCCAAACAAGATTTAAATATCTTTCTCATATTTATTTACAAGTTATTGGAAGGAAGTTTTCAAATTGATCTAGTGCAAAAGTGAAGATACACAACAATACAAACGCAAGATTTTTTTTATCAATATATTTATGTTACTATAATATTATATTAAAAAATAATTCAAATTTTCAACACGCGTTTACACTTACACTAAAAAATCGTTTCTTGCACAGTGAACAAATCAAAAGCCCTGAAAATTAACTGTAATCCACTAAAAATATGTCAACGCAATTTTAGTTTTTCCTCACAAATAAACACCGAAATTTCTATACATCTATCGCAAGATTTTTTCTTTAGAGATCTTGCAATTTTTTTGACCATTGGATTTTTATTGAGATTCATGCTAGGAACCTCCCAGAAAAATGCAAACGCACGAGAGAAGGGAGTCAACCTCATAACCTCAAGGTCACACGGGTTGTTTTCGTCGGATTTCTCCCGAGTTACAGTTACCAGCACGGGCTCTCGCTCACTACTAGGAGAACGTTTTTCCCTACTGTCAAATCCGATTTTTGTGTGCAGGTGGGCGGTCCGCACCCACCCAGGGGTCTGCGAAAATTGTAATTTTTGTGTGCGGCAACAAAAATCCAGAAAAAATGAAAAAAAAAAAATGAAAACCTAGAATTCGGCGGTGGCGCCGCCGCCTCTTCCTTGTCGTCGTCCTCCTCCTCGTCATCCTCGTCTTTGGCCGAGGACGCCACTCCCGTCCTCGTCATCGTGGGTGGCGGCCTCCGCACCGCCCGCCATCGGCTCCGCGCTCCCCTCCGGCTGCACCGCCGCTGACGCCCCTCCCCTCCACCGGATCTAGGAAGGGGAGGGGAGGGGAGGGGAGCGCTTGCCCGATCCCGCGTGGGGGAGAGCGGCCGGCCGCCAGATCCGTGCTCCCGCTGGCCTCCGGGCTCCCCTTCGACCGCACCGCCGTCGACGCCCCTCCCCTCCGCCGGATCTGGGGAGGGAAGGAAGAGGAGGCGAGGGGAGCCGGATCCCGCGGGGGAGAGGGGGGAGAGGGCGGCCGGCCGCCGCCACCGAATCCATGCGGGGACGGCCATCATTGCCGAATCCGTGTGAGGGTTGGCCACCGCTCGCCGGATCCCCCGCGCCGTCGCCACGCTGCTGCTACCGCCGCGCGCCGTCAAGACTCGGGAGGAGAGGAGAGGACGGGAAAAAGTGATAGAGTGGAGAGAGGAGAGAGGAGATGAGAAAAAGAGGAGAGGACAGAAGAAAAAGAGATAGAGAGGAGAGGAGAGGAGAGAAAGAGGGAAAAATTTAAAGTAGGTAGAAGGGAAAGAGAGAGTGAGTATTTTTACGTGCGGCTCTCTTAAAAGGTCCGCACGTGAAAATAGGTTTATTTTCGCGTGTGGTCCATTAATGGGAAAATAAGCTCATTTACGCGTGCAGTCCATTAAGAGGACCACATGGAAAAAATCGATTTTTCCGTGCGGTTCTCTTAAATGGACTGCACGTGTAAATGAGCTTATTTTCCCAGACGGGAACACCGTTATGGTCCGTCTGAAATCTAAATGGGTCCATATCCAGGAAAATCATTTTTTAAGTAGTGTCAGCCTCAGATCGCTTGCCAGCCATCTATCCCATTCACTGGCGTCCGCCGCCGCCGCTATGCTCCTCCTCCCTGGCCCTGTGGTCCCGCCGTCCCTCTCAACCCTCGTCCTCCCCCACACCTCATCGGCATCTTCTTACGCCACCGTCGCCGCATCCACATCCTCGGACAACACCACAGCCTCGTCCTCATTCTCCGTGGAAGACTACCTCGTGAACAGGTGCAACCTCTACCTCAATGTGTCGTGTCACACCGGAGCTCTCCACCATCAGGTCACCTTCCAGGCCCGACGCCGTGCTTGCATTCCTCGCCGAAGAGCTCGGGCTCTCTCCGCCCCTCATCGCCATCACCGTGGCTCGCGACCCCAAGATTCTCACCTGCAGTGTCGCCAGTGATTGCAGTTTCAGTTCGAAATTTCTCTAATTTCGGACCCCTCCAGCAAAATCAATATATCAATTAAAATTTTCGGACTTTATCAAATGTTTGTTGAATTCGGTCAAAGTTTATTCAAATCCAGTCAAAATATGTTATAATTTTAATAATTTCTGATCTAAAAAGTGCCGAAAATCATGAAATTTTTGTAAATTTCATCCTACCGAAATCACCGAAATTTTGGCTGAAATAAAAAATGCAAACCCCGAGCGTCCCCAAGATACTCAAGCCCTGCGCAGCCGTGCTCGGCTTCACCACATTACAGATGGACCTCATCGTGGCGCGCTGTAGCGCCGCCTTCTTCCGCTCACCGACGCTCCTCGTTAATGTCCAGTTCTGGCTCGGGTACCTCCGCGGCTGCGTCGACTGGGAGGCCTCACCAACGACGACATCGGCTGGTTCTGCGTCTCCTACGCCTCCAAGCTGCTCGTGGCAGCACCAGATGTAGCCAAGGCTGTCCTAGTGATCGCCGACGAGTTCGGGGTGCCGCGCAGGATGCGACCATTCAAGGACGTCATTGTCGCAGCGTTCCTCTTGAAACCGGAGCATCTCGCCTGGAAGGCGGCCTTCTTCAGGGACGAGCAGAGCTCGGGTGGACGGAGGCGCAGGTGAAGACGGCGGCAGCCAAGATACCGACGGTGCTGATGCTGTCCGTGGAGCGGCTGAGGAAGAACTGGGAGTTCCTGACCAAGGAGGTCGGGATGGACGCCGAGCGCGTCGCCAACTTCCCGGTGATGCTCAGTTAATACCTGGACGGGAGGCTCGTGCCGCGCGCGGTTCCGGGTGGTCAGCGTGCTGCAGGGTGCAGGCTTGGCGGCTGTGGCGCGGCAGGGATTTCATCAACGTCGCCACCATAGTAGAGGAAGACTTCGTGGCCAAATTTATAAGGCCTTTCTTGGTTAAAGACTCCAACTTGGACAAGGTTTATGAATCAACCATCGCTGAGAAAGAATTGAAGAACAGCAAAAGCGTGCAACCATCAAAGGCTGGAGTGTAATACACTGTGAAGCCAAGGTATATGCAAGCTAGATAGCTACTGCTTGTAGGTGAATTTTGCTCCAATTTACTAACTGTTAATCTTCATGTGTGGTCATAAAACTCTCAAAGCTCAAAACGCTGCAATTGCTATTGCGTGACTGTGACCGTCACTAAATGCTGGCAAATGACAATACTAATCTTCCGGAATGACAGTACGTTGGCGTGCTCTAATCGGCAGCGTCCTCCGTGTTGCTCGATCACAGCCTAAGTCAAATCAGCTTACGCTTCGGCCTCGTTTTCCGATTCTGCAGCAGAAAATTCTCTTCTTTAATTTACGCGAGATTTGGAGTATTTGCTAGTATCATCGTGTGTGGTTGACTGTCCATATCTGTATTTTGGGAATCACGGATGTCGCCGGCGCGATGCGAGAAGCGCGCTCTGTCGCCGCCGCGGCGCAAAATCCCTCGCAAGTGCAAGCGCGGCCGCACGGTCGGCGCCGTTGCCCCAAATGGTGCCGCGCCCTGGATGGAGTCTCCCTGGGCGTCACTGGATGGAGATATCATCCGCCTTGTCGCCGAGCACGCGCTGGCTGGCGACGTGGCGGATTACCTCCGGCTCCGCGCTGTTTGCCGCCATTGGCGGTCCAGCACCGTCAGCCCGCGCGGCCGCAGCGTCGTGGACCCGCGCTTCCATCCGCGCCGGTGGATCTTGTTCCCCGAGAGCCATGGCCTCTTCCCTGGCCACCGCAAGCTCCACGGGAGGGTTCGCTTCTTCAACGTCTCCACGGGCGCCTTCGCGCGTCTCCTCCTCCCGTTCTTCCCGGATCACTTCGTCATCGACTCGGTCGATGGCCTCCTCCTCTTGCAGCGGGATCGGGACAGTGCTATCCGTATCCTCCACCCTTTCACCGGTGACATTGTTGAGTTATCATCCCTGGAGACCCTACGGCCGCAGGTTGAGCCCTTCTTCACCAGCACTGAGTTGGCTTATATGAGAGCCATGGAGCGAAAAGAGATGGGCATATTCTCATATTTCAATCGTATTTGCGCTGCTCTTAGCTTCGGCCCTGACGGAGTCATCACTATCATGTTCGTTGTTACCAGAGTACAGCGCGTTGCCTTTGCCACCTCTGCGGATCAGCAATGGACCTTGTCAAATTGGCAGACCAACCTCTCATGGAAATACATGGCATTCCAGGGCAAGATTTATGCAGCATCAATATGGGTAAACTTCTCTCCAAACAGAATTTTCGTGATAGACCCACCCCGGGTGGAGGCGAATGGCTCTGCTTCGTCTTTTTCCCTACCAGAACCAAAATTGTTTGCTACATGTCCAGTAGAAAAGCTGTTTGGGTTCGCTTATCTGGTGAACTGTGAATCAGAGGTCTTGCTGATCGGTCACACTGATCGCTCGTACTCGCAGGCCGTGGTTTACAGACTTGCTGACATTATCTTGGGAAGGTTCATCCCGTTAACAAGATTTGGGGACTACACCATTTTCATGGATGAAAGGAGCCTGTGTGTCTCCTCGAAGGCTGTTCCTGGCATTGCAGATGGCTCTCTCATCTACAGGCACCACGGGAAATTCCTTGCACAATACCATGTTAGAAGTGGCACCCTGTCGACAGCTGCTGAGGGTAGAATCGAGGAAGGCTACAGACTGGCTCCGTACAGCCTCATCCACCATCTTTTTGCTTGCTGTCTTATGACTTTTGGTAAGTCTCCTGGCTATGCTGTTCTTCCATGCCTAGTTCCTGCATGATTGCTACGTGTTCCTTGACCATCTATTTACTTCTTGGATTTGTAGGAACAAAGGACAACTATTTTGCTGGAATACGACGAATAAATGGGGCTATAAGGCAAAGTAGCAAAGCAGGGGTGACTCTCGAATGTACTGTTTCTTATTGTCTCTCAAGCTCAACTGCCAGTATGAACAATTATGTTCTTCTCACTCTCTCTGTGCTCTTGCTGATGCCTAGCGATCTCAGACTTTGTAGCCGCTGTTTAGTTAACAAAGAAGGTAGCCCGCGTATATGCGTGAGTATGTTATTTAATGTTGTTTTATTTTTTTTATTATGAACGTTTATTATATGGAGACATCTTATTTAAGGCAAAATTGATTATATAGCATCAAAAGTTTACGTTTTTAGATTTATAGCACCGAAAGTTCACCGTTTACTTTAACTAGGAAGGTGGCCCGCGCGTATGCACGGGCACTTGTATTATTGAAAAGTAAGATTTTTACTGTTTGTTCAAAAGTTTTATCTTATAGATTAAGGGCAAACTAAAGTTCGGATATTGTTATTTTGTAATAATTTAAGGGTTCTATTTTTCTTAAGGTATCTTAAAAATCCATTCACAAACTTTTGAGTAGGAGATGGATTAAGTACTTACGACTTTTGAATCATATTTTTTTCTCGAGTAAATAATAAACTATTGCTTGTAGTTCTTGAGTAAATAACAAATGAAAAATGTGAGAGCAAGATACTTAAAATTTTTGTGATTAAATCATCTAAAAAAGGTGCATGATACAGTAAGAAAGAGAGGGAAGCGTATTCATGGAGAAAAAGAAGAAAGGGAAAAATGGAAAAAGGGAGGGGGAAGAGTAGGTACCTACGTATGTAGGTGTGTACCGAAGGTGGAGATGTGGGACCTCGTAGTATTTAGTTTGTTCTAAGATCAATTTAATCCAATGGTTTATAATATTGGACCGATCGATTTAAGTGAAAATCATACTTTGTTTTTTTTCTTAGAATTTCTAATATTTTCTCTAATTTATTTGAGCACCACGTGACAGCTTATGGTATTTTAAGAAATTTTAATGGACTTACCACATGTAATTAGAATATTAACCATATAATATATATGTATGGGATATATGTTAATATTCATTTAGCTTTGTCCATGTTTATATACATGTAGAGAGAAATTAAATATGTTGCTAGCAAGCCATTAGATGTCTAATTAATAGCAATTAATTTTGACACCTATTTACAATTGTTTACATTAGCTCTTATATGTTCATCTTACGACTTTGATTATGCGTTGATAACCAATTTACTGATCACCATGACTCGCATGAAAAAAATATGTACTACTTAGGGTTTAGAGTTTAGGACAACTGAAATTGATGAATTATCTGATTTATGTGATAGCTATTTGAGATTATAAACAAATAAATTAACTTCTAAAAAGTTAAAAAGTTATTTAAGAAAAGCACCATTTAGGAACTTGGAAAGCGTGGAGCATGCAAACGAAAACCCAAAAGATGGAATCAAGGAAAATATAGGGCCTTAAACTCCCTTATAACACTTTTATCCTAGTAAGAGTTCTATTGATATTCGTTAATATTGTGCTCACATTTATAATATAATGATTTCATTCAATTGTACGAACAAATAATACAAAATCTGAATACATCAAAACACAATACATTATAATTATTATGCAATCAACTCTCGATTTTGGCTTAAACAGAGCTAAGTGTTCCCACGGTGCTTAATTCTTCTCTCACGGCATCACACCTTTAATTTTCTTTTCATGTTATTAACAAAATCGGTAGCACTACAATGGTCGTGATCACCTGAGATGCCTCAGACATGACATTCTGTCACACGTCCGAAAGGCAAAGGTGTAGACGTGCATTATGCAGCGGGCCAAAAAGAGAACTTTAGACACTTTAGTTATTAACAATAGATCCGATGATTTAAATAATGGGTCCACTGGTTCTAGTGTAAATGTAAATTAGTTAATATATATTTTAAATTGTTAATTTAATGGGTACACAATATAATGGTGTAGATTTTATTTTAAAACAATTTATTATTTGAGAATAATAGTCCAAAGTAATTAAAAAAATAGATCCAATGATTTAAATAATGGATTTATCTGTTTAAGTGCATCTATATATTAGTTAATATAGATCTTAAATAGTTTATTTAATAGGTACACAATATAATTATGTAAATTTTATTTTAAAATAGTGCATTATTTGAAAATAATAGTACAAAGTAATGAGTACACCGATTTAAGTGGAAACTATCTTATTGATTTACTAGGTAAACATATAATATGTTGTAAATTTTATTTTCAAAGATTATAGAGCTAATTTATTTACGTGTGTTTATAAAGAGTTATATGATGGTATATTCTTTGTTTGTAAAATTATGATTATTAAAAAATATATATCAATTGTATAAATAGAAAAAATAAGAAAAAAAAGGAAACAAAAGGGAGGGAGGCGTACGTACTACATACCCATGTATGTACGTGACCTACCTATGCACGCATAAAGAGGAGAGGTGGGACCCTGGTCAAAGAAAAAAAAGAGGAGAGGTTGGGCCTATAGTATTTGGTTTATTTTAAGATCATTTTTATCTAACGGTGTATAATATTGGACCCACCAATTTAAGTGAAAATAAAGGGGTAGATGTTTTGCTTTTTTCTTAGAATTTCTAGGATTTTCTCTAATTTATTAGAGCGCCACGTGACATCTTAAGAGCGTTTGTAAAAAGTTTAGTGGAATTTTAGTATATAATAATAGATAGATGGCACCCAAATCTTTCCTCTGTTCCTGTTTAGAGGTTTCCGTCGCTCTCTCCCGTTTTCCGTTTTCTTTCACTGTGATGGAGTGTGCAATGGCTGAGCGAATGGACCATCTTGCCCATCTCTGATTACGGGATTTGTTTTGATCTCCTGACAAAATGATCGAACCAAAAATCATCTTGTCGTCCGTCCTTGGTGGCGATGACCTCCCTCGCCCTGATTGTTCTTGCCATCCCTGTCGCGCGTGGCGGTGGCGGCTGGCACTACTAAAAAATCGTTTTTCTGTACCATGGGTTGGTAGGTTCCATGTGGGCCGCTTGTGGCGGCGCCTGCAAAAACGGCCCCCCTAGGGGCAGGTCGATGAGCCGCATGCGAAGATCCATTATCGCATGCGGCTGCTTAAGACAGCCGCATGCGATAATAGGTCTATTTTCGCATGCGGCCGTCTTAAGGGGCCGCATGTATTAGGGCATGCGGCTGCTTAAGACGGCCGCATGTGAAAATAGGCCCATTATCGCATGCGGTAATGGATCTTCGCATGCGGCTGGCTTAAGGGACCGCATGCGATGATCGGCCATATATGCTCCTCCAGGCCCAAGCTCGACCATTTGAAAACGAAGCTCTCTCTCTCTCCTAAAGCAAGCACCAATTAGGGGGGAGGTTTTCAACTCGAAATTTTTGCTTGAACTCTATACGAAAGGTGAATAACTCTCTCTCCTTCATTTGGCTCCATTTCTGTTATATTTCGTTGGTGGAAAGTGGAGTTTTTTTAATATTTTGACAAGGTTTGTTCTAGCTAGTTTTTGCAAAATCTAGCTTCAAAATATATGTTTTGATGGGCAAATTTTGCATGTAATCACTTGTACATACTAGTTACATGTATTGTTGTAATTTTTTTGGAGGGACAAATGCATTTAAACTTTTATATGAAATACCTGTGGTCTATTTTTTTATCTGTAACTTTTTTGTCTTTATATAAATAGATGGATCGGTCGTCATGGATGTATGAGATGCGGAGAACATAGCCGATATTTATTGAGGAAGCATCTAAATTTATTGATCAGGCTAAGGCACATGCTTTGAGGGAGAATATGACAAAGATCTTTTGTCCGTGCCGTCATTGCAAGAATTAGAAATTGTTGGTAGATCCTAGTGAAATATTGGGTCACATAATGGAGTACGGATTCACCGCCAACTACAAGGTTTAGACCTTTCACGGGGAATTCGCCGATCCCGAAGATGACGATGAAGAGTTATGTTTCGAGATGAATGAGGCAGAGAATTTTATAATCGAAGACATGTCCAGTGAAAGAATGGATGTCGATGTTTCCACCGATAGTGATGATTTTGAGGGTGGTTTTGATTTAGAGGATATGCTAAGCCATGTTGAACCAGAGGTGCTAGCGGGTAGGTCACGAGGATTGGAGAATTGGCAGGCATTAGAGAAGGCATCGAAGGATCTTCTTTACGACGAAACGAAAGGATGTGATAAGGATTTCACAATCTTGCGTTCAGTGCTTGAACTTCTAAGATTGAAGGCTAAACATGGATGGTCGGACACAAGTTTTAATGATCTGATGAGTTTGTTGCGTGTGTTGCTTCCTAAGCCTAACTTTGTACCATCAAACACGTATCAAGCGAAGAAACTCATATGTCCTTTATCTCTTGGTGTAGAAAAGATTCATGCTTGTAAAAATCACTGCATATTATACCGTAAAGAATATGCGGACTTGGAAAGTTGCCCAACGTGTGGCACAAGTCGGTATAAAACAGGGAATGGGCCCATAGATTCAGAGTGTACCGATCCAGATTCTGATAAGAGTAAGCGCGGAAAGATTCCCTCAATGGTGATGTGGTACCTACCAATTAAGGACCGCCTGAAGCGTCTGTACTCAAACCCGACTGATGCTGAGTTGATGAGATGGCATCAAGAGAGCCGGAAGATAGATGGTATGATTCGATATCCCGCCGACGCTCGCCAGTGGAAGACATTTGATGCAAAACACCCAGAATTTGCTAAGGATCCCAGGAATGTAAGGTTTGCGTTGAGCACTGACGGAATGAACCCGTTTGGTGACTTAAGCAGCTCGCAAAACACATGGCCAGTCCTTCTCACAATGTATAATCTTTCAACATGGATATGTCAGAAACGAAAGTACATTCTTCTCACTATCCTCATACAAGGTTCAAACCAACCTGGAATCAACATAGATGTTTTCCTTGAGCCTTTGATGGAGGACATGGAGGAGCTTTGGAAAGAGGGGTTACGACTATGGGATGAGTTTAAGCGGGAGCACTTCAATCTACGTGCGATCATATTCGTTACCATTAATGACCTACATGCAAACTTTTCATTATCTGGGCAGATTAAAGGGAAGACTAGATGTCTGATATGTTTGGAGAAAACTTCGTACAAATACCTGATGTCGTCTTTGAAGATAGTGTACATGCGGCATCGACAATTCCTACCACAAAGACACATGTATCGTAAGATGGCTAGATTGTTCGATAATACAGTGGAGAATGACACTGCC